AAGAAGATGTTGAGTAGTTCTGCCTTGTCTCTGTCCCCTGTTAGCATTACACACACCTCTCTTTTCTAATAAATTCAAGACTTTACATTATTGTTCCTCTCCTCCCCCCCCCATGTTGTTTCAAAATGACCTTATGAGATAGGATGGGATGGGGGGAGATTGGTTAAAGGTCACCTGTCCACTAGAGGGACAAAAAAGTGAGATGGAGAAAAAATAATGCAGAATGTGAGTTTCTGTTTAACTAAGGCATGAAGGGGATCAAGAGTTGTGTTTAGATTACAAAATGCCAACAAGTGACAGTTGGAGGTGAATATTATTTTTCAAGTTGTGAGAGAGTGGAAGTAATGTTTTGAAACTAGCAGAAGGCACAGAGTGGTTCTGAGTTAGAGGTCTTCCAAGTGAGATGCTATGGCATGTCTATATGCTGAAAAGCTACCACATTTATTTTGAGAAAATTACTTCTCCTTTTCCAACAGTTGTTGTTTACAAGAAAAAGACATCCCATACCATAATATGTCATCCCATACCAAATGTTATCTTTCTCAGCTTACTCCCACTGCAATTACTTTTTTATGCTAAGCAGAAATCATGTTAGATAGCTAGGCTTTAGTACTGTAGGAATGCACGTATACAGCAGTAAAATGCTGCAAAAGAAGAATCTTGATAAAGTTGTACAGTAACCTCAAGATTACTCGTGTGTGTGTTTTATAATGCATACAGACTCAGATATAACAGAAACATAGGCTTAAAAGTAAAAGAACCCACAGATATTCCAGTTCCAGAATTAATGTTTAGGTATTTGCATAGTTAAACTAGAAAGAAAGAAGGTGAAAGGACCCATAAATATTCCAGTTCCAGAATTACTTTTTTAGGTATTCTCATAGTTAAACCAGAATTCAAGAGGACCAAAATGAGTAAGTCTATGAAACAGAGCATTCATAATCAGTAATATGTACTTACTGAGAGGTCCGTATGGTTAGGAGCTAGTAGGATATTGAGTAGATTTTGTGAGTGTGTGTGTGTGTGTAGCTATTATGTTATGGTTAGAATTCTACTCTTTCTTCTTTTAGTAGTTTTGTGGTATATTGTATGTAATTAATGGGTTCATAATGGATATCTGGTTGACTAGTTTTGTTCAGTTTGAAATGTGGCTCTGGTTTTGTTCCATCTCTCTGTGTAAGTGGGAACAAGTGGGAACATGTGGGATTCTGTAAAAACTGCTTTGCTCTGCTATGATATCAGAAAGTTATGTGTCCAGGTGCTGTTCTTTGCAGTCTTTCCTTAGTATAGACATGTGCATCTACCAGATATGATTGTTTTGATGTTCACATTTTTCTAGCACCATGTTTGTTCCAAGTTAAGTTCATATTTGGTTGGACCAAGGAAATATTCTATGTATCTTTATGCTTCTTTTTCAAAACATTTTTTTCTGTGCATTTTTTTTTTTGAGTAAAGCACTGATATGCAGACATTTTCAAAAAAAATATATCATTTTGTTCATTTATATCCTGCCCTTTTCCCAATAATTCAAACAACAGTGATACCTTTATTGGCCAACCAAAATGCACAATATACTTGTTGCAAGCTTTCAAATCTTCTTCATCAGGCAAGATGTTACAAACTGAACAGGAGGGAAAAAATGGAGATGTTAGTCAGATGCTTGCATTTTGATGTTTCTGTCTTTAGTTAAGATGGTAAGTAGAGGGTATATTTTGTAGGCTGGCCCCTCCTCCTTCTAGCCAAGTGGCTATTGGGAGATTTGCAAAGACCAGAAAATTTAAAGTTCATTTGCATCTTAACAAGGATCCCTTTCTTGCAATCCAATATACCTCCATTTCTATGATGTCACAGGCCTCTTTGTAGGCAGAAGACAATAGATTCCTCAAGGCACCTTCATGATTTGCATCAGGAATATTTTGGTAGGTGCTGAGGTAAAACATACCAATCCAGTTCAAATTTAAGAAGAAAAAAATTGTTTTACCTTGGTAATTTACAAATTATAAAAGGTAGCACATATGAAAAGCCATACAAAACACTGGTAAAATATATATCTTTTCATGCATACACATATAAAATACATATTTTCCATGCACATTATTTTACTTTTAAATTCCAATTTAATTTATTTATGTGGAATATGTTTCTATTTAGTTTTGTAAATTGTATTACAAGCTTGAAACAATAAACATTTCCTATTCCAAATTATGTTTTTGTCCACATATGGTTCTGTGACGTGTGAATTGGGTAATCTTGGTTTAAGATGAAAATCAACAAATTTGTCATACATATGTTGTTCTTTTATTGTTGCTATTTCCAACTCATGACAACTCTAAGATGAGCCTAGCATGGAGTTGTTTGGTGAGCTTTGTTTACAGAGGTTTGCCTTTACCTTCCTCTGAAGTTTGATATGATATGACTTGCCCAAGGCCACCCACTAGATTTCCATGACTGAGCAGGGATTTGAACCCTTATCTCTACAGTCATAGTCCAACCTTCAAACCACTATTCCACTCTGGCTCTCTATCTGTCAATAAAATCTGCTAGGTCTCAGATGTCTGAAATAATATGTGAGCTTTGAAAACTAACTGTTTTTGAAAGGTAAATTTATTGGGGGGGAAACTAAAGTAAACCCTTTTTTATTATCAACCATAAAATAACAAGACCAGACACATATGGGAAAATAAAGGGCCATTTATTTGACCTATTAAAATACTAATAAACTTGACATTTTGGGAAAACTATAAGGAGAGGGAGCATCCTGGTATGGGTCCATAAGGAGAACCAGGTATCACCACATGACCCAAACCCCTCCAGTCTACCCTTGGGTGAAACATCAGGCCCCGAGGTAAATCCAAGATATTAGATTGAACCCTCGGTCCAGCCTATTGGTAGGTAAACATAGGGCACTCTCTCCCAAAATCCCACAAGTTTGTAAGAGAGAGCAAGCTTGTAAGAGAGAGTTGGAGAAATCAGCCCCAAATCTCCCTTCACCTTTACAGGTCCCTTGACCTGTAAAGGCTGTCCCAGAGCCCAACCTTTCACCCAAAGAGAGTGCTAATGCGGAACATCGAACTAATAATATTTTCCCCCATCACTACCACTGAAAGGGTGAAGCATCAGCTTAATCTCTTTTCCCCACCAGGCTGGCCAACATAGCCTTCACCCCTTCCTGTAAGGGGAGATGCAGATGGGCGGCCCTGGGCTGCCCTGGGAAGTGGAGAATTGGGGCCACTGCTACCATACACAGTGACCTCGATTCTCCCACTTGCCGCCTCTAAAAGAATGGCAAAATGCCGCTCCTATTAGAAGTGGCAAAAGGCCACCCCCAAGAGCCAGCACATGGCTCTTCTCTGCCTCTTCCGGTGTAGCATGTGAAGACACTGCACCAGGATAATGTCCTGACACCACGTGCCATTAGTAATGGCATGTGGCATGACAACATCTTCGGGGAGGGGTTGGGGTGGCCTCCAACACTCCGCAAAGGGCCCGTCTGCAGAGGCCCTAAGTCTGCCAAAAACAGCAAATTGTCCTTATCAGAAAGGTTATCCTTATCATCCCTCCTATATAGGTCTTCAGAATGGAAGCTAATAGACGTATGGGATATCACAAAGTCAGATTCATTTATTAAAGAATTTTAGATTTTCGTGTTAAAACTTTTCCTCGCTACCTCCGGTAATGGTAATGGCAACCAATTGAGAAGCCCCATTGTGACAGCAGAGGGGGCATCCTGATTGCTGAGGTATTTTGGCCAAAGGAGAAAGAAACAACTGGCCAGAAAGGGAGCCCCAGGTACAGAGGACCCTAGCATCTAATTTGTGGGTCTATTCCTGTGTTCCTGGAGTTGGAAACCTGGATGGAACTGGATCCAGAGGCAAGATGTTAGGGAACAGAAGAGGAGACTGAGGAGGCAGCTGACCTCAGCATTTCTGTTTCGTCTATAGACGACCTGGACACCACCAATTTTAATTAAATGTGACTCTTCTGATTGTGAGTAAAGATAAATAACTGATTTCTCTATAAATCTCTTACAAGAAATCCTCATTGATGCACATATCTTTCTGGATTCCTAACTACAACGCCTGTGCTGTGTTTTGTTTTTGTTTCTCGGCTGGAAAGAAAAAAAAACACCAAATATTACAGTGAAAAGACCTTCTTGCAGCTAGAAGTATTACAGTTGAAAACTTTAGTGCTTTGGAGAAGAAGGTTCCCCCAGAACAAGGAACAGTAAATTATAAATATTATAAATATTTGAAGATAAAGGGGAGGAAATCCCAAGAGAAGTGTCAGTGGTTTGATGAAGAAACCTTTGTTGCCATTGCCAGAAGAGGGAGAGAAGAGTGGTTCCCCACCACCACCTGCTTGGCTTGTCGATTTACTTGTGCGGGTTACAGAAGCTCGAGAGGCATGGAGACTGGACAGGGGGAGCTGGTGGTGGCTGGGAGTTGGAAGTGGCAGTGAATTGGCTTGAAGAGAGCAGAGTGATTGAAAACACAATGGCCAGAGTCAAATTGTGAGGGTCGTGAGAAGAGGAGAGTTGTCAAGATCTCTAGTTGGAGTGGAGAACCCAGTGGCATGGTGGAGGTGGGGGAAGGGCTGGAGAGGAGTGAGAGAAGGAGTGAGTGAGAGTGAAGCCTGGAGAGGAGAAGAGGAGAAAACGGACCTGGCTTCTTTCCCCTGCTAGAGTGAATAATCTGTGGCATTGGAGACAGGGAGCCACAGAGGGAAGCTGTTGGAAGGATTTATTTAGAGAGGAGTTTGGCTTTTGTGTTGGGGATTGAAGAGAGCTCTGGCAGAGAAGAGACCAGGTAGAACAGTGATTTTTGATTGGTGGGAAGGTTAAAGGGTTTCCTTAAAGTGCTGTATCTCTTTCCCTTTAAGTCCAATAATATAGAAAGAGAGGGGGGTTAAAGGCATTGTGTGAGTTGTAGTTTGGGGAAGTAAGGACCCTCTGAGTCTTAAAATAATATAAAAACAAAGATAGATTTTGAATAAAAGCATCTACAAAACAAATATATAAAGGGAGGAGAGGAGGATAAAAAAATTGAGGCTAGTTTATTTTTTTTAAAAAAATCTAGATATAGAATTCCTTCTTTTAGCTCCTTCCATATGCAAATTTAAAAAAAATCTAGATGTAGAATTTCCTCTTTCAGCCTTTTCCATTTGTGTTTTATAAAAAAAAATCTAGATATAAAATTCATTCTTTCAATCTCTTTCATTTGTGACTAATGGGAAAAAAACCTAGATATAGAATTTCTTCTTACAGCTCTTTCCATTAGTGATTAATAATAATAATAATAATCTAAAGAATCTAGATATAGAATTCCTTCTTTTAGCCCTTTTCGTTTGTGATTAAATAAAACAAATCTAGATATATAATCCCTTCTTTCAACCTCCTCCATTTCTGACTAAGGAAAAAAATATCTAGAAATGGAATCCCTTTTTACAGCTCTATTTGTGATTAATAATAATAATAAAAAAATGTAGATATAGAATTCCTTCTTTCAGACTTTTTCATTTGTGAGTAAAAAAATAATAAATAAATAAATAAATAATACAAAATCTAGATATAGAATTCCTGCTTTCAACCCTTCCATTTATGACTACAGGGGGAAAAAATCTAGACATAGAATCCCTTCTTACAGCTTTTTCCATTTGTGATTAATAATAATAATAATTAAAAAAATAAAATGTAAAAAAATCTCTTCTTCCTTATAGTAATAGTAATAGAACTTTTAAAAAATGTCAATGAGTTTGAGAAGCCAAACAACCAAAATTCCTTAAACAAATCACAAACCCAACTACTATATGTGAGAAGACCTTCTCTAGATCAACAAAAGATTGAACCTTCTTGCCAAATTTTATTAGATGAAATCAGGAAATTAAGGACAGATTTAAGATAGGAAATGAATGATTTTAAGGTGGAAGTTTGACAAGAGATAAGAACAGAATTGAAAGAAATAAACAATACTATGGAGAAATTAACAAAGGAAATGTCCCTTGTAAATCAAAAAAATTAAAAGGTTGGAAGAGAAAATGGAAGTAGCAGAAGAAGAATTCTACAATTTAAAAGCAAGAAAGGAAGAAGAACTAGATGAAAAAGCAATGTGGGGTCAAAAACTGAGAGAGAGATGTATTAAAATTTGAGGTTTACAGGAAACCAAAGAAGAAGATTTGATGGATATATTTTAAACAAATTTGGCTCGTTTTTTTTTTTTTAGAAAAAAAGGAAACAATTTTTGAATTAGAAATAGATAAGATCTTTTGTCTCAATTTTAGAATAGTAAAAAAGAAAACTTCCATGAGATATAGTAATATATTTCATTAGAAAACAGACAAGGGATGAGATGCTGAGATTGCATAATGAATCCCCACTAACTATAGGAGGACAGGAACTTCAGATTTTCAAAGATGTTCCAGCTAGAATTCTCCAAAAGAGGAAAGATTATGCCTTCTTGACAATTGCATTAAGACAAGGGTAGGCAACGTTTCCTCTTTAAGGGCCGAGGGACTTCAGCTCCCAGAAGCCTCAGCCATGTTGGCCAATAGCTCCTGGGATTCTGGAAGCTGAAGTCCCTCAGCCCTTAAAGGGGAAAGGTTGCCTACCCCTGCATTAAGAGAATGGGACATAACATATAGGTGGAACCAAGCAGATCTATCTTTTTAGTTTAATAAGAAAAAAGTCACAATTAAATCAGTGGAAGAAGCAAATTTTAGGGGGGGAATTTATGGGAAAAAAAGAAGAAAAATGAAAGTTGGGAAAAAAGAGAAAGGCAAGAAGAAAGTTTACAGACTCAAAAGGAGGACTGGAAAAGAAAACAAAGATTAGATGAAATTAAAAAAAAACAGAGTGTATTAGACCGGGAAGAAATAGAAAACCTTAGAACCTCAATGCTAGAAGAAACTAGATATTTGAAAAACAGACAAGAAGAGGAAATCGAAGAAGATTTGATTTGATTGGAAAGAACTCAAGAGAAGGAAGAAGATGAAGATGAAGAATATGAAGTTAAACCAGAATTAGAATGGGAGCCTGAGAAATATAAATAAAAAGAGAAATAAGTAGGAATAGAAATACATAGCTACATAAATTTCAAAACAATTTAAATTTCTGACTTGGAATATAAAAGGCCTCAATTCACCACAAAAAAGAAGAAAAGATATTTCATCATTTACAGGAAAAAATGGGACATAGTAAGCCTCCAGGAAACACACATAAAAGAAAAAGATTAAAAAAAAACCCTTAAAAATACCAAACTAGGTAAAGAATTTGTTTTGGTCTCAAAAGAAAAGAAAAAAAAGAGGTGTAGCCATATATGTAAATTCCAAAATAGAAACAAAGGAGATATGGAATGATCTGAATGGCAGATATATTATCATTGAATTAAATTGTGAATTAGGAAAAATATTAGTGATAGGAATATATGCACCAATAGATAGAAAGAATAAATTCTATAAAGAGTTGCTAAACCAAATAGAAGATTTAAATTATGAGTCTATCATTGTGGTGGGGGACTGGAATG